TTATTGTTCGAGGTGGGTGGTGTGGTGGTGGTCGTTGGTGTGGTGGTGGGGGGTGGGGTGGTGTGAGTGGGGTGGTGTGCCGATAAGGACAGTAAGTGTGAGGGATGATTAGTAGTGCCGCGCATTGGTGAGGGGGTTCTTACTGGTTCACGCATGATTAGGTGATTTCTAAGTGAACTGTTAGAGTACCGTAGCCACAGTGGCGTTCTGTAGACCTTTACCTTCGGTCCCCCATGTTTTTTTTTGTCAATCGATTAAATGATTTCTAGTACAGGACCGGTATCAGCAGGGGCTTGCACTAGGCTCGTTCCTAAGTGGGCACCTTCGTGTGTCTGAGGTATATGAGTTCGTTACGGCACCGTTCAGCGGATCGTCTAATGAGGTGCAGCCTACTAAATAATAAAACTTCATCATTTTTCGCTATAGCTAGCTGCAGTACTAGACTAACTAGCTAGCTAGAGTAGCTATTTTAAAATAGCGATGCTAGTAACTGTTGCTTTCTTTGAGTACGCATTATTTAAAAGTTAAGTAAGTTATTAAATACGATAGCTAGTACGATTATTGATCTTGATTTGACATACCGGTAGGATAGTTCTCTTTTGATCTTGCGAAATATACTCAACTCGAAAGTTGAAGGACTTATCGATACCTGATACTCGGACTATTAATAGTCTACTACAGTATTAATAGTAGGCACGGTACCGAAGCTGACCGGTATGGTACACAGTGTGGCAGGTCTATGGCTCGTTCATCTGTAGAAAAGGCTGTGGTACTGGTAGATGTAGTCCAATGCCTTCTGAACTTCTGAAGTTCTCATCAAGGAGCTGTGGCCTCATCTTTTGGCTCCACATGCATATGCAGCCATCAATGTCACAATTCCGGGGGATGAAGAAAATCAATGACTCTCATGGAGACTGGTCTGCAGTGGGTGGGCTTTTAAAATTTAGCCATGCAGCAACTGCAAACCACTGAAGCTCCACTGTTTTGCAAAACCGTAGTGGTGCCCATCGCTGTCTTCGCACCACGTACCACTGTTTATCACTGTAAGAAATGACAGTGGTTGAAAGTGCCATGGTTTACCACTGTCAAAGCTACTGTCAACCACTGTCTTTGGTCATAGGTTACCTCGGTTGGAATGGGATGGAAATGGATTTCTCCACCTTCCTGAAGCATTAGGAGTAGCAACCGTCCCGCGGTACTGTACACGTGTAGTGGCAACCCACCCAGCTTAGCGCTAAGAACAATAAAATAGCGTTACGCTTTCAATTTCTCCGGCCATGACACGGTACCGGTACGGTACCGGTTGTTCTTGTACGGATCCCACGATCACGCATCTCGCGGCGAAAAACGGGTGCCCAAAAATGAATCTACTACTAGAACTGGCAGCCCACCGAAGCTAGCTAGCTAGAGTACCATATTCTCCCAGCTAGCCGCACGCGAGTCTCAACCAATCGAAACTTCTAGCTCTAGCTAGAATCAGTAACATCAAAAGCAATTTACGCCATTGGAGGAATGAGCCGAGGCTAAACTGAGCGTGGTCACCATTACCAATCACCTGAGCCTTCATATGTGATTCGGGAGATTTCTTCTTTTGGCTGCTCATCAGACATGATTGGTTTGCCTTTTTCCTCGAGAGCTGCGATCATGTCTTCGATATCATCGTGCTCAGCGGTCAACTGTTCGACTTGTGCAGGAGTCAAGCTCAGAGCAGGCCGCTTTGACGTTCCGTCGCCCTTGACCGCCCGATGGACGCGATCCTTCTGGATTCCATCCAACTTCAGCTGAAAGTAGTGCTACGGTTGATACAATCACATGAGAAGAAAGCACTCGCGTGAAAGCGGTTGTTTCCGTACTACTAGTAGTCTTCTTACCTCGAGCATTTTCACCACATCGTCTGCCTGCATGTATCCCAGGATCAGCTTCTTGTCAATGCGGCCTGAGAAAGCAAGGGATAGATAAAGAACGTTGGTTGTTCATTTGGATTACCGGAAACCATCACAATTCAATGGAGTGCTTACCTGGCCTGATCAAGGCTGCATCCAACTTCTCCGGGTGATTCGTCGTCATAACCAAAATCCTTCCTGGTGTATCCACAACGCCATCGAGGACATTCAACAACCCAGAGAGATTCAGCTCATCTCTCAGGGGACCGAAACGGGAGAGATCGCCCAGGCCACCGAGGCCAAGTCCACCAAAGCCTCCGCCTCCGCCTCCGCGTCCTCCAAAGGCTCCTTGCTTTGTCGCTCCAATACCTCCACCTCCCAGACCGAGCGGAAAATCGTCCAAATCACCCATCTTATCGGCGGCGCCAAACGGTCGAGACACCCCTCCTGGCATTCTCAACTCGCCCACCGGCCCAGAGGACATGTTTAAGGCGGCTGCGTTGGCTGCTGCCAATTTTCCGAGGGTTTGAGATGTTTTGTCGATGGTTTCAACCTCCAGTGACCTGGTGCTGCTATACTTGTTGTATGACACATCTCGCGATAGGCCTGGCTTGCCAAGGGGCGGTTTGCCGGGCGCAGGACTGCTGGCAAGGCCAAGTAATTCGTTTTCGAAGGCTTCATCCACTTCTGCTCCCATCTCGATTAGCTTCAAGATGCTCTTGGCGTGAAAGTTGAGGTACTCGTCCAGAGCGTTGCATCCTTCCATCATGTGAGCACCGTCTTCCAGAGCATCAGAAGCCATCTTTTTCATGGCAGCGGCCCCAGACTGTGACTGGGTAGGGTGCCCCACCACGCTCAATCCAGGTATGCTGTTCATCCGCTCCGCCATGGCTTTGAGCGTGTCCGAAGACATGGCGTTTTCCTTCAATCTCTCAGACTTATCCACAAGTTGCTCCACCAGCTGGATGCACTCCTCTCCCTTGCTCTCCAACAACAAGCGCCACATGGATTTCGGAACCGGCAGATTGACGTGTGCTGTTTGTGCTACGGTGGACGTCCGCTTGCCATCACGGCGTTGTACTACTTTGGAAGCGGCGTCGATATCTAAATGGTTGAGAAGAAAGTCAGGTAGATCAAGAGTTGAGGACAAAGAAGCAAAAGGATGAAATACGTTAACCGGCCACAATCAACCTACCTTCCATCACAAAAATGACGTCCTTGAACGCCATCTTGGCTGGATAGTAGGAACCATCATAGTGGTACTCTTCAACACACGAACAAGCAACAATAAGATGAGGCGAACACGTAGGTGCTGAGTTGCGAACATTACCGATGACTTACCATCCGAAAAAAAGAGGCGGTTCAGCTCTGCGTTCGTTTTGATGCGCGCTAACGGAATGTTGATGATACAACGGCCCGTGTAGTTTGCTATAGCTTTGATGAGGCTCGTCTTGCCGGTTCCTGGCGGTCCATGGAGAAGCAACCCCAACTTGTACGGGTATCCCTGGGAGATGAACACCGGAGGAATGGTTGTTTGAGGGGCAAGTTTCAAGATGGCGTAGTGTGGGGGATGACAAACCACACAACCTTCACCTACCTGGATACCGTACTTGCCAGTCTTATTGAGAAAGTGTCCAAGCAACCTGACTATGGTATCTCGCTCCTGAAAGAAGAGGGAATCAAAGCTCTTATCATCTGAAAGTCTGTATCGTTTGAACTGGTGGTTCTGGCCCTCGGAGTACTAGTAGTTGCAAGGCATGGCATGGCAAGGCAAAGCGAATGCACAGGTCAGTTGGGAGTGTCATTGCGTGCGAAGAAACACACCGTCGGATAGTTCTTACGTCCTTGTCAAGCATATCGTAGTAGTAGCGTGATTTGTCCTTGTCTTCAACTTTCTTTATCTCAGAGACATACCAGGCATATGCCTCATCAATGAACTGGTCCACAGATTCCTCTCCGGTGGAACGTAACTTGTATTCGACATAACGACGATCAATAGCCACGGGCGCTTTGTTGTTGTTATTATCGTTGTTGTTGCTGTCTCCTCCCTCAGTGCCGACACGTTCTTCCCTCTGGCTTATCTTAATCTCCACTTCATGGAGGTCGTCACCCTCCTCCTCTTCATATTTATCGTCTGTGGTGTTTCCGGTGGTAGTAACAACATCTTTGCTGCTTTTCCGGTCCGGCTTTTCAGGCCTGGTTGATGGATACTTTCTACCTGTCGGATGCCACTCGTCATCGGGAGGATTCTGAACAATCTTGTAGGATGACAGCTGATTCGAGAAACGTCCGGCCTCGTCTTCTTCATCGTCACTATCGCTCCAATAATTATCGCCACTCCCAGTGTCATGCTGAAGAGCCGTCAATTTTAACTGCGCATGCTGCAACTTGATACACTTTAAATGCTGCAGGTACATGGTGATTGCCTTGATGAGTATTTCGTTCTTGACATCATCATCCAATGAATTGAAGGTGTCGTTGTTGCGATCCTTTTCTTCGGCATGCACGATTTTACGGGTGTACCACTCCGTATCATCTTCTTCCCAATCGAACCATCCTTTAATCTTCTCCATGATCTTTTCCAAACTAAAGCCACTGACCACGGAGAACATTACTCGAAGGACCACAGGAATCAACATGGCAATGAGCATATCAATATGGATGTTGCCCGTCTTGAGGGCATTGACGACGCCCATTGACTGAATGCCATCGACAAAGTTATGGTCTTGACCTTCCATGGTACCGGGTCAAAAATCCAACAAAAAATAAATCGGAAACACAACCAAGTCTTCAAAACGGCTGTCCAGGTACTGGTGCACTGTAGCGGATCCAAACAATACTGATGCGTCTCAGCCAGGGGTGTCGAATACATTTATGACAGCTTCAGACAAGCTCCATGCAGCACATGTGCACAGTGCACAATATGTTCTGGCCAACCCAAAAGTTGCTTTCCAAAGATATGCGAAGATCGAAACACGGATCATCTTCCAGTCCAGCTTTGAAACACGGGAAAAGGGGACCAAAAACTCAATGATTGAATTCAATCAAAATCGATTACTAGCTAGCTAGAGCTATGCATAGCTAGCTAGTAGAACTTTTCGAATTCAGTCGAAGGAATAATCTAATCGAATCGAATGATTCGATCTAATCTAATTATTTACTTATTTATTTATTTATTTTATCTATCTGGTGTGGTGGAGGGGCTTCTCGTGGCTGCTCTCACCGCTGTATCTATCTACCAAACTCTGGTGGCTGGCTCCTGTGTTGGGAACTCCTTCGGCTACCAGTGGCTGCATGGCCAGGAGCTTTTGTTGTTGCAGGTGATACAGTACACGGTCCGCTCCGTACCAGCCCTTGTCCAACCAAATCTGCTACATTGCAGCTTCCAGCTACAACCAAAGCATAAGTACCACCACAGCTACCAGGTACCTAGCTAGCCATTGTCATTGCATGTAGCTCAATAGGGTACGGAGTCTGCACTGGTGGTCATGCCAAAACGATGAAAACTCATCATCCCATCACAATACGAACGTGAACTGTACCAGCACTTCTACATTTATTACGATTGTATGAAGCAGCATTGCTTATTGTTGCTTTGCAGTTTCCTGGGCTTCTTGCCACTCAAGAACACGAAGGCCTACGGCATGCCCAATAAAACCAACTCCAACGGGTTTCGTACCAAGTTGGCCGTAGCAACATCATGCCCCCTTGTGCTATGCCAAGTAACCATAGCAGTACAGTCGTACCATAGCATGTCTTTTTGCAGAAACCCTTCCGTCGCTGACAAATTCGGATTATAAGAACTGTTCAGCATCAATCATCAACAAAATATGATGCCTCAAGCATTCATGATTTATGCACGCCCAGAGAGAAGTCTCTTGCTGTTCTTCCTCTTTGGCTGCTTCATCTGGCTAGCAAGCTGGCCCGTATGCGAAGCAACAGTTGTCAAGGAGGGCGAAGGATGGGAGACCTTGTCAACTGGATGCCTTCGAGGTCCTGGTTCCAATGGCAGTGTGTGGTCGTCTACTACCGGCAATCGTCAAATATCGCAGATCTACTATCTAAATAATGCAGTAGGATGCATCGTTTGATCTGGATTATGTACGTTAGTCTACTGAAGCCATCTTCGCTGGGAATGCCCCAGGGGATGCCATTACGTGAAGGAGTGCTTGGACGAGCCAGGGGATGCCATTACGTGAAGGAGTGCTTGGACGAGCCACTCTAGCCGAGTAGAGAAGTAGGGAGAGATTGTGGGATGGGAGATGTTGAATAAATGAATGTGCATGCAAGGGGAAGACGGGAAGACCGTAGAAAACCTCACGACTGATCCATTGGGTGATCGTCCGCCGGTCGTGGTGTGCTTGACGATGAGCTGCGGGTGGGGATCCTGGCATTCATTAGAAAGGAACGGACGGATGTCTGAAACACGTTGGTGTCAGCGTCGACGAGGGGTTCGTTTTCATTGCTTCGACGACGTCGTGGTTGCCTCATGGGAGCGCTGCTGAGGTTTGCCTGATCTTGAGTCCGTTTACGAAATCGCCCGGTGCCCCCATTGCTCCATACGTGATTGCCTTGAGCCGACACGGCAGCTTCCATGGTGGTTGGCGCAGGCGATACAGACGACTGCTGGTCTGTGGAACCGCTACATGTAGTAATGCCAACACTAGCAGGGATAGTCGCAACAGCACAAGCGCTGTTTGCAAAGGTGTCCTCGTTGATAGCGTTGTGTCTTCGCGGCATGTGCATAGCATTAAGGCTGTGCGAAGAAGATCCCTGGTTCTGCCAACGGCACATGCTGTCAGAGAAGCTGACACATCGACGTCGAGGCCTCACTGTCTCTTCTAGATCAGGAGGGGAAGCCGCAAAGCCATTTGGAAGAGTATCAGTGACTGTTCGCCGAATAGGAATGCGTGGTGCCGTCGCCGAGGAACGACACTGTGGCAAGGAAGCCCAAGAAGGAGGTTTCAGGATCCCTTTGGGTGGCCTGGGAGAGAGACGAGTCCTCGTTGGCTGATCAGGGGAAACGGCGGCCACGGGTGTTCGCGCTTGGAATGAGGGTTCACCAAAGCAAAGACCAGTAGTAGCACCGGTAGAAGCGTACGCGTTGGGAGGAGATTCAACCCCATTGTCATTGGTGTTGTTGGTCCATTGGTAGTTTGCTTTTCCTGTGGTCATGTTGCTGGTTGGACTATTATAACATGGGCTACTAGACTATTAATTAATACCGGTAGGAAATAGTTGGGTTGGTGGATGATCGAAGCATAGGAAAGAAAAAAGAAAATAATGGACCGAGTATGTCTGGACATTAGATGAGGAAGCCCAAAAAGGGCAGTCGCTGGAATTCGCTTCAGGCCGGGGCTGTTCCGAAATGACTTCTTTGAGCAAGGAAGGGGTCCAAAGAAAATGTCATTTGTTATAACCCTGGCAAGTGACATCTTGTTTATTTAACGATAGCCTTCCGCAAAAATTGAAGATCGTGTTGGAATTCTGCGTTACAGTATAAAGTGAGCCTTCTCTCGAGGCGTTCTTCACCGCTCGTACCGGTGACCCTTTATGCCCACACTCTACATGTAGATCTACTGTATCTCTTGCAGCCCCAAAAGTGGACGAGGCATGGGCGTGGGAGCTGCCTCTTGCCTCTTGCCTCATCACCCCAATAGCAATCAGCAACATGTAGCCAGCCAACTGTTGCTTGCTAGCTAGCCACATCGTCTGTGTAACTTGATAGATCTACTACGGTAGCTAAATGAGTACGGAGTTGTCATATGATTTTAGCAAAGAGTGCTAGTGGTAGCTCCTTGCCTTTAGCAATCGACTGGTGGTACGGTAGCAGCATGTTTTGGCCACATCAACGAGATATTATACTTCATCAGTTTCCGAGCGACTCGAGTGACAGTCGCAGCATTGATTGGATGCAGCCTCATCGACACTTTCGCGTACGGTATGCCTCTCGCCTTGGTCTCTTCTGGGCTCTAAGTCAGTTTTTGTTGGGTAAGTATGTAATTCTAGCTAGTAGCTACTAACTAGCTACCAAGGTAGTAGGCGAGGAGTAACTGACGCCGAGGCAGGCAATCTGCAGCCGGGTAGCGGTACATTTGCTACGTGCTTCTTTGGGGGCAGATGCTTTTGTTCGGTTGCTGCATTGCTTCCTTCAGCAAACACTTGCTGGCTGGCTGGCTGGCTGGCTCAAGGATGGCTCAATCTTCGTGGCGCTCTTCTACGGCACTAGGATAATCGACTCTGCTAGTAACGAATGGTTCCTTTTGTGTAGCTAAACTGTGTTGTAGTACCGATATGCCTGTGCAGTCCACCAGGTATAGCCCGGGAAGGGCCACATACCAGCCCTCACAGGATAACAAAGCAAGCAGAGGCAAGAATCCTGTCTTGTAAGCCAGCCTCCATGAGCTCCTCCATGTCCTTTGGAAGGACACCGGAAGCCAAAAAGATCGCGAAGGAGTCAGAGGCGACTGACTGGACCGCCTGCATGTAGCTAAAGATATGAAGCGTGGTGCCGGTAAGAAGAACTGTGGCTACAGCGTGCTGGTTTGGTCCTGCAGTTGTTCCCTCGGAGCTGCTGCAATTTAGCTAGCCAGCTGGCTTTACTATCTTAGCTTTCATAGCTTAGCATAGCAAGTTTCAAGAGCTGTTTCAAGTATTCAAATGCTGCTTCTTTTTTAAAAAGGTTTAGTTAGTACCGTAACAACTACACGAACTGTAGCTAGACGACGATCGAAATGATGTTATTTGCAAAATTATCTATTCTTCTTCCTGTATCCCCCCCAACATCGACAAGGCTGGCAGTGGCCGATGTCGGATCATTTCGTCATAGAGATCATCCAAATCATCATCGTCGTCATCACAGGACGAGTCGTCGTCGTCTTCATCATCGTATTCGTCTTCATCGTCCACGTGGTGCAGCTCTTTCTGTTGCCGCAATTCGTCTTGAACTCGAGTCTGAACCTCCAAGTGCTTTTGAAGGAGCTTTTGGTTGTCTGGTACACTATGCAGAGCCACCAAGAAGTTTTGCATGGATATGAGGGACATTTCTAGCTCTTCAATATCCTTGTTCTTGCTGGGTGCGACTGGTGCCAGATCCAGGCATGGGTCGTCTTTCTTGGCATGATGCCGTTGCTGTAGCTCTATTTTCTTTCCATGCTCGGCCGTTTGTTCTAGAAAAAAGTCGATCTTGTGTTGAAAGAGATTCTCGTGGCTCAGGCGGCGACGAGGGGGCTTGAGGCTGCTGACTTTTGTCCTTGTTGGTGATACTGAAGAGGCATCCCTCCTTGGAAGGCGGGGCGAACAGGAAGACTTTGATCTGCCCCGGTTCTGACTGCCGGTACTTGGAGAGGTCCAGTTGAAGTTCCTCTGATGGTTGTGGCTGGCAGGGTTGTGACTGTGGTGAGGCTGGTGGTGGTGATTGTTACCACCGGTAATACAACAGATGCAGCTATCCTTGCCAGTACTAGTAGACGAGGAGATATTCACATTCACATGCGGTACAGACATTCTTGAGGGCCTGCCACGAGAACTTGTCTTGCCCTTGTCCTTGCCGGTGCGGCCACCTGCCGAAGCAGACCTATTGGTATCAGCATCCCACCGGCTGTTGGAAAAGCCAGAGAAGCTAACACATCTTCTTTGACGGGTTCTCGGGGCGCTTCCACCGTTTTCCCTCTCTGAACTCTGCAGGGGGTCTGGTCGCTTCAAAATGGACTTCAAGGGCTTCTTGGTTCTCTTGTAGGCTGCGTAAGGAGTTATCGTCATGACCGGTGCTGATGATAGAGCCTGCATCAGAGACTCCTCAGCTGCTCCCATCTTGAGGGGAGACGGACCGACAGGGCGCACAGGGCTTTCATCTCCTAAACAAAACCTCGCCGCTCTGGAGCTCGGGTGAGCACAACTCATGGTCATTATGAATGATGATCCTTTGGGCCTTGCTCGGGTATCCTTTCTTGCTCCACTGCTGCGCCAATACCGGCTCTTCTGCTACTAACTCTGCTGTTTCCTCTACTACTAACTCTGCTGCTTCCTCTACTAATCACTAGCTAAGACCTGAAGCTACCAAACAGAGCAATACCTGAGAGCCTTATAACAGCGGGGATGGATGAGTGAAAATATGCGTGAGAGGAGTCAATTGTTGTCCTTTCTTCTTCCTGGAGCTGGACAACGAGGAGAGGGAAGATTGAGAGATGAGACGCCTCAACATGTGAATGTGAAGGAAAGAGGGAGAGCGGGTGCCTGACCTGTAGCTTTTGCTAGCACTTTGGATCTTCTGCCACCAAACCGAACGCTGAACGTGGCGATACCACCTTAAGTACAAAAAGCTCCTTCTTTGGCAAACCGCTGAGATGGCGGATGGTCCTTAAACACTCAATGGCCACCATTCTTCCACAAGCTGATTGATATTTGGAGTATCATAAAATAGTAGTACGTGGCGAATGCCAAAACCATCTTGGCGCAAAAGTTCGATGGATTTGGCCTAAGTGACTAGTCAATGACATTGCCACATGAGCAAATCATTTAAACACCAGAGATCGTAATGTCCTTACGTGGCCAACCTTAACGGTAAGGTCTTACATTGGTGATTTTATGCCAGTTCTGGTCACAATTCTCCCCAACACTTACTTCATCTCTCATCTAATCTTTTATCGATGAATGAGCTGTGGCTGACATCTGGTTCTTCTTTCCAACTGCCCTCGTTGGCTTGAGTCTGATACCCTTCGCACTTTGCACTGCAGCAGTTGATTAATAAAAACAATGGTGGTCAACGATTATGCCAGTGCATGACGTCTATGCCGAGGGAAGCAGAAGGATACTCTGTAACTCATAGTCCTGATGACTTCTTGTTGTTATGATGTACTGCGGGATAGCCCAAAGAGAAGTGAATAGTAGGCGAGAGGCAATAGGTCCATGGTACGAAACCTTCTAAGTGTAAGAGCTGGTGCTTGTGGAGCTCTTTCTTTGACTTGGAAAGTCGCTGACTTCAGTGCCTAGTACCGAGCTGGCGACGTAAGCAGCAAACGCAAGTAATTGTCTATTATGGCGGGAGCAGGCGGACTGGCCGGGGGGACCAGCCAGCCCAATAGCCAGTTATTTGATTTGGGAGTAGGTGATATCTCGGTTGCCAACAAAAGAATCATAGATACCTGCGGTAACGTAGTCAATTAAAGCAAACAGTTGGTTTCGATGCAAAACCCCTTTCTGGCCACGTTCAGACGGAGTGGATGGTGGTTTAAAAGGTGCAAAGAAGAACCCAACAAGCAATCGTCTTCATCCAGCAGCCAGCAGTCAAACATTCCAAGAAACTAGCTCCTCTGCCTCCCATCAACCGTAACACCCTTAATTCGTTTCATTTTTGCAGTCGAGTCCGATCCTCTCGAATTCAGAAGAGCAGCCGTGTGGCACCTTGTCGTCCTCTTGTGTTCAAAGTTGTGTCGCAGTCTGAGAGATCGAATTCGACTACATGTTGGTTGTCTGTCTTGGGTTGTTCGTCCTGTTCATAATTATTTTCTAAAAATTGATTCCTGCGCGCACATCATTCGTGAAAAGCAAATTGAAAGAACTGTGACTGGGCTCAATCGACAGCTTAAATTTACAACAACTGTGACTGACAGAAGAATCGATACCAGCACTCTGGCTGGGAAATGTTGCTTTGTTGTTGATGGTCTTTCTCGACGGCTCCCTCCATTCCATTTTAAAAACTCACTGACTGAGTGTTGGCTTCAACAGTGGTAGCAGCTGAAATAATTCAGCGTGACCCAAATCAAGCGCGACTATCACATGATCAGGCGCAACAAATCTGCCATTTCCGGTGAACATGCATGTACCGGGAAATCAATCCAAGAATCCCTAGTCGATTGTAACAAACAAAGAGCATCTTTGGTGTTGCAACCCCACGCAGCGAGCAGCAGCAATGACGCAAAGCAATCCACGAAGCGGATGAGCTCCCGCTAATCCCGATATTCAGCACTTCCCACGTGCCATCCAACTGAAGTGGGACTTCGTTCCAGCGATCAAGCAACTTACAGTACCTTTTACGATGATGACACGTCTGAGATTCTGTTTGAATGACCCAAGATGTCCTCACGTTGCCCACAGGATTTAAGCAATCTCTTAGCTCGTAAATTCTTGGTGGGGAAGGCCTCTCAGCTTTGGAACGGTAGTTCGGGGAAACATAGGGCTAAAGGTATTTATTTGCTGCATCGTTCCAAAGAAATAAAGAAAGTATTTTACCCCATCTACCAGAATTCCAAAGCTGTCACTGCGTCATTCGAGCCCTCTAATCCTTTTGTCGTCGAGTCGAGTGAGTCGATAGAACTGGATAGCCAAAGACGAAAAACCTTCCAACAAATAAATTCTTTCGCCCTCGCACGTTATTGTGTCAAAGCGTCATTAGTGCCGACCATCCATCCATCCAACAAATTTTATTCTTTCATAGTATTGATTGTCTTCAAGCGTCAGTGGGGTCAGTAATCTATAATCTTTTCGTGTGCACGACAATGAGAGTGGCATCTAAAAGTTGGTTGTTGTTGACGTTGGCGTTTGCGTGGGTTGCTGCTGGAGAGACGAATGGAAATCTCCGACGGGAATCGGAACAAGAGGAACCACCAGCCTCTCGCATTGTTGGAGGTTCTGTCGCTTCTGCCAGCAACTATCCGAGTCATGTGCAATGGGCATTGGGTTGCGGTGGAAGTTTGTTCCACGATGATTTGGTGCTCACAGCAGCTCACTGCTTCTTCAACAACAAGAATGTCCTCAAGAATTATCCGCTCTATGTGGGCGGCGATGGATCGTCACAATCTGGCACGGAACTGTATGCTGAAGCTGGATATATTCATCCTCTCTATGATCCAAGCAAGGCACAAGCCTATGACTTTGCAGTCTTGCAGCTGCCCCAGAAAATCACAGGAATCGAGCTGATGAGCATCAACTCGGATCGCCATTATCCCGTCAATGGTCAACCACTGACTGTGATGGGATTTGGGTTGATGGATGAACATGACGGAGCCAGGGATGCTCCCGGTGCCATGCGTGAAGTCACAATTCCCATGATTGACAACTGCTTGCCATACTACAGTTCCAATCGAATCAATGATGAGATTGTCTTTTGTGCGGGAGACATGCCAAGAGGAGGAAAAGATGCCTGCCGGGTAAGTCTTTGTGTTCCGGTTTTGATGGGTAAGGTGGATGAATGGATAAGCCACTCATTAAACGGTGTAATATTGCCTCTGATCCCGGTAACCATGTATCCAGGGCGATTCTGGCGGTCCCATTGTTGACGCTGATGGAAAGCAAGTGGGATTGGTTAGCTGGGGGATTGGTAAGAAGTTAGTTGTCATCATTGTTTTCTGTTCAGGAACGCGATACCCGATCTGACTCGACTCAACTTCCTCCCTCCATTCATGACAACCCAACCCAAAACAAAAGGATGTGCGCGTGCCAATCGACCTGGAGTCTATGCTCGGGTATCCACCATTGCAAAGTGGTTGGAATATCTGAAATGCGATGTCAGCATGTATCCTCCGGAAAGCTGCACACGATTAGATGTCAACATGACATACGATGACTACCCAGAGGAGACAGGATTTCAGATTATTGATGATAGTGATCCAGAACAGCAACAAGCAGTCATCTTTGAAGTGCCGGGAAAGATGGATATCCCGCCAAGAGCAACAATCCACTATTCCTACCAGCTGCCCATTGGGAACTATTCCTTTGTGTATGAGGATGCCAATCTAGATGGGAGCTGTTGCAGCTTTGGAGATGGTCATGCTGTGATTACCAATGGAGGCAAGGGTGTCAATGTGAGTGGTGATTTCTCACTCTACGGAAGTCAACAAGAAGAGTCAATCGAAATGCCCTTGCCGAATGTCGGTGTTCCAGGTACTAACAACTCGGGATGGGGTGAATTGGGTGGTTCCACTGCGACTGCTCTGGGACAGCAGCAACAACAAGGCAATCAACAACATGTATTTGGAATCCAAGTGGTCATCATGTACGATCTTGACAGAGTCAATGACATAACCTGGCAGCTCTTCACTGTTGATAATTCGGCGGGTGCTGGAGAACTCGTGTTGTTGCACAATGACGCTCCTAGTCCCAACCGAGGCTTGGATTCCTACAATCGACAAAGCTGTGTCTTTCAAGATCTTCCAGCAGGATCCTATGAATTTCACATTGAAGATGCCTCGGGAATGGGCTTTGCTCCTGGTGTTGGTTTTGCCAGAGTGATGTTGCTGGACAACACAAGGGGTGTGCTGTCTGGTCGTCTCTTCCACGTTGCTGGTGACGACATTGAGCCACTAACTGTTGCCACGTTCGATTTGGGGGGTGACAGCGGAACGAATTGAATCCAGGTGGATCACTTTGACACAACTCAATTTGATGGATTGCCGTATGTTTTGGTGGCTTGGGTGCCTCCGGCAATGTTGCAAGTGGTCAACGCTTGATGAGCGAGGGGGACATGGTATGAAATTCGGCGGTGAGATCTACACCGTACTGTTCGTCGATGATAGAGACGAATAACGAACTGGCCGACATGACCATGCGTATGTGAGACCATTGATTGTGAAAACGCCGCCGGTGTGTTTTGAATTCGAAGATCGATTTCTAGCTATGTATGGCTCCTGGTGGTTTTTAGTTTGCTGTGGCAACAGATCCCTACCTTCTGTTGGGTTGAAGCACTTGCATCTCTGCAAACTTGAGATATTAATGAAATTGCATCGCTAGGAAGACTAGGGATAGCGGCCAAACATCAAGACAAACAACAGCAATCCAATGTGGTTTTGCCTTTTATTATTTACAGTATGGACGGTTTTTAAGGCACGAGCCTCAGTTGCCTGATATTATATTATGCGACATCCGGCACCGTGCTGTAATCTTCGCGACGACGACCGTTGTCGTTGTCGCGGGCTGATACGCGCTGCCTCACATGCAATGACAAGACGGCACCTACCATGATGACGGCAGCCGCAATAAGTTTCCACACGTTTTCAGAGCCGTCATCGGTTCTTGCGACCGATTTGCCCAAAAGAGGGAGACCCTTGATACCTTCGTCCTCGTTTTCGATCACCAGCCGCTGTGTCCACGAAGTCGATTGTCCAGGTTGCAAGTGCAATAATATTTGTGGTTCGGGCGAGAAGGTCCCCTTTTCAAGATAGAGGTTGTACGCGTACATGGGGATCCGGTTATTGATGACATCTGGCAACTCGCTTCGTAGGGAGGTTGTGCACCCATGCAATGTAAAAGCACCCTTGGACGCATCATCCTTGACGAACTCTGCCTTGATTCGTGTATCACCATTCAAGGGTCTTGCAACATCCACCGTGACATGGTCTTTGAACTCTCTAATGTTCGCAAACGTCCTCAATGGTACAGCCCACGAGCCGATCACTCCGGGTTCCTCGTAGAGCTTGCCTTTGTCCCCTTGAATATCCATGTCGAGACTGTATCCATCTCGCACGGGGATTCCGTCGCATGTGAAGAAGTTGTGGGAATACCAAGCCGTGGAGAATGCGGTGTCTCCCAAGTTGGTCAAGACGGACGTGACTGCCAGTACATTGCCATCGAGGACAATATCCTTGTGCAATCGATATCCATAATTCCGGACCCTAGCCTCGTGTTCCATGGAGACGATGGAGCTGGACGACGTGAATACCTTCCACTGAGGCAATTCGGCAAATTCGTAGGGACTATTGAAGCGATAGTTGTCGGTACTGTCGCAGCTCGGACAGCTTCCCTTGATCAATGCGCCAACTCCAATTTTGAGAAAGGGTTCTCCATTCTTGGCATCCTCATATCCCAACACGCCATTGGTAACATCGTTGACGCCATCCCATCCACAACGATACTGACAGAGGGGACCATCATCGCCCACGCCAAACTCCGATGCTAATCCAATTCCACTTTCCGGCCATCCTGAATTGTGAGGTTGTCGCCAATTCTTGCTTCCAAACAAAAGGTGCTTGGCACCAGTCTTTTCATTCTTGCTCGTAATGGATCCAATCATGGAACCATGATCAAAGCGACTGGCCATGTAATAGGTCGCCTCGCTGGGTTTCACAGCATGAGGGAGATAGACCATCACCTCCAGATTGCCACCAAGCGATGATAATGTCACATTGGAATAGGGGGATGCCAAAGGCAGCAGTGTGGCTATTAGCGATAGGAAAAATAGGGAACCATTCAGGTATTTGTAGAAGGATGCAAGGGAGAGAGACATCTGGTAGGAGATAATGGTTGGTATCCTTGTAGTAGTTGTCATGCTTGTGTCAAAGTCAGTCACCTCAAAATTTGTTGCGATTAATCGGAATATCCCCTAAATAAAAACAAAGATCGGAATTCCACCGCTTCAGCGAACCCTGCAATCTTAGTGCACTGAACACCAGCTACCCAGCTCTATCAACACCAGTATGTTTCGCCACAACAACCAAGGCGAACAACCAGGCTTCGGGTTGGCATCGATCGAGAGCAGTGTTGCTGCTGCTATTACAATTAATAAAGAGTTGATGGTTGCAAATTGCCGATTGCTTGGAGACAAAGATACTTTGAGGGGTGAGGGAACAGGATTGCTTTGAGTGGCGGCAGCCGTTGGTTGCACTTTCTTCTTCGCCGGGGTTCTCGAAATTGAATTGCATGGCCATCTGCCCCCCCCCCCCACCCGACCCCCAATAATGCCCCAGAATACAACTTTTACTGGGGGTGGGAAGTACCACACCACAAGTTTTTGGATCCTCGCCTTATGGACAGACGGACAGGCTGATGAGGATGAAAGGTCGTCAAGATCAATCTCCAGGCTGCAGACGCGGCGTGATGAAGCAAAGAAGCAAATGCAGCCAGTGTACAAAAGCCAAGGTCAGTTGCTCTATCTGGTCTGTCAAAATGACAAAAGTGCCCCCTTTCACGAAGCCCTCAATCCCACACTGACGGCTCCGTTCAGCGCGAGGCTGCCAACAGCTGCAGGTTGGAGAGAGCGATCTAAAATTCCAATGCTCTAGCTAGCTGGAAGATCATACGGTAGATAGTCGTGCTAGTACTGCACTGCCCATGTCAACTAGAATACAAACGGCTAAGGCCTTAGTCGGGTACTAGTCTTCCTCAAGAATAGCTCTTGAACTTGTGAAACTCCTGAAACTCCAGTTTAGATGGGTTGCTTTTCATGTTGACTTCAATCGGAAAATGGCTGCCTCGGATGAAATGGATTGAAGACAGATAGATAGAGATATAGATTGTTCATAGCATACTTTCTAGCTAGCCTAGCTAGTGCTGAAGAGGCTCCAAAAGCTCTTTCCATTCTTCCGATGTGGGGACTGCTTTGCCTTCAGCCGTACCAACAGAGATCTCCAAAGGCCCCATATCCAGAGCCGCTACGGCAGCTGAAGCCGCCACAATCCGATTCGTATCTGTGGGACTTGGATCAAACGATGTCTTGGTGCCCATTTGAGTCATCATGTTTGGCATGCTGTGCGGATCTCCTTGGACGACACTGGTGGTGTCAGCCCCCAGGGAGAATTTGTCATGTGCAAGAGTGACCTTGTATTCAACCACATCAATAATGGTATTGTAGTAGGTCTTATCCAGCCCAAAGGGTTGAATCGCATCACCATCCTCATCAACCTCTCCAGGCCCACCTCCCTTGGTGATTCCTGCTCGTATAATCGAAAAGTCCAAATTTTTGTCCTTGGCTAGCTTGGCCAATCCTTCTTCGGACTGAAGCACGGCTTTGTTGGCACCGCCACCAAAGAAACCTCCACCACCACCCTTGACACCCATTTTGGAAATGAGGATAATCTTTTCCAGTTTCTCCGACGAGTATTTCAGGAATGTTTCCAATGTCGAGGCTTCAACGGGATTGTCGTTCCCAACCAATACCAAAGAGGTAGCATCTCCCAGTGCAGCACCCATGTCTTCAGAATCTGAAATTGGTTTGGCATTTCCCTCAACGTCAATTCCTGCATTGGCATAATCTGATCCATACATTAATCGTCGGCATCCTTCTTCTGTGCCTGGAGCACAAATACAGGAGGTTGTAATTCCTTTTTCGGCGGAAATCTTGGACACCAACAGTAGCAGTTCTCTTGATTGAGGACCATAGACGACTGTTGAAAAACCATTCACAATTGGAACAGCAAGCAACAGGATTGGTGCTGCTAGAAAAGCGGGGAGCGAGGATACCTTCATGTTAGTAGCGTTGTAAAATGATGTTTTGCCAAAGTGCACAAATGCAGTTTATCTTGGTGGCAGCTACCGGTACGGTAAGCCCAAAGGATCGGATGTTGGCATGTTGGCACCTGTGATAGCGCCTGTTGGCACTTGTTAAGACAGGCATCTACGGGGAGCTTGGATGGAGAGTATCCTAACTTCAAATTGCCGGCATGCGCTACGGTACGATGAAGACAGTTAGGGATAAAAGTATTACAAGGATAGAGCCCTTGTGCGGTCTTTTAAAATAAAGACTAACACAACATCGAGGAAGCTGGGGTTAGACTACAATACTGGAGTAGTCTAGCTAGCTAGAGGAGGATTATCTACGGAAGCCAGCGAGGGCCAGGCTTCTTAAGGTGGTTCCGCCCAGGATGTAAGCCAGCATAAAGCTGTGAATAAAACTGACGTATGTTCGTGACATATCTTTGCAATTGTATGGAATCCGGAATCTTGAATATTCGTACTCTCGCTGGATAGCCAAATTCGCGCTAATTTTAGCTTCACCGCCAAATTGCGAAGTTCGCGCACCTCGCTCCTTATATCTTCGGATCTTCTGCGCGCACGGTGAGTCGCTGTAAGGAAGTGCGCATTGGAGACTGGATTCTCCTGGGCAGATCCACAAAGGCACGTACATCCTCATTAGTTTCGAGATCGCTCCGTTTGCTTACATCGAAACCTCACGGCATGGAGGAGTCAACTCCCACCCCACGCACCAAATGGAAGCCATCAGCTACTAGTGAGATAGCACGGCTTAGTGCCAGTGGCACTGGTTGGAACAAGCTTGCTGGAGTAAATGAATGTGTTCCTAGCACTGGAAGGACAACTCGAAATGCCAACAGTGGAACCAACAAACATGGGAAGAGACTGTTTCAGGAAGACATTGCTGTGCCAGACAAGGTTGCAACAGAAGGAGCCACTACAGCTGAAGAAGAAGAGGCTACCACCGATGAAGAAGATAATGAACTCACCGCCACGGAATTCAATACCAAAGCAAGCAGCCGGCTACTGTTGGAGACGAGCCAAGTGCAATACACGGCTCTTAGCCTTATTCGCGACTCGATCCTAGATAGGGTTTGAGTTCGACTCATGACTGATGACTGAGTCTCTCGTGAATAGTCATTTGAGACAGGGTTCTCAATGACCGCGCTAGTCATGGCCCATGATAGGGTTTAGCATCAGGGAGAATTCTACTTCGTAGTCGTCCATCTGCCACTTTGCTAAAGTACCATCGAATAGGTCAGAGTACTTCGTCAGTAAGGAATGAAGCTGTTCCTTCTCTTCCGTGTTAACTGATCTTGACTTTGGCAAACCTGCCTTAAGTCGCTTGTTCTATTTCGCATCAGAATCTTCTTGAGACGATCGCACTGTCCTCAACAGCGGTAGGATCAGGAATGAAAAGTTTTCCTCTTCATTGGTGTCGCTGTCTTTCATAGGAATAGATGCGCCGTCCCATTCCACTGACAATGTAGTGAAATCGAACTTGAATCCTAGGTCAGAGAGAATGTCTCGACTATGATCATGTCATACGCCCCAAGCTTGGTGACGTGTAGTCCCACTCGATAATTCTATCTCGTGGAATTCAGAATCAAAAATGGCACCTGCACTTCGTGCTGTTTTTAATTCTCCTGCAGGGAAGTCCACATCGTTTGGACGCCCCCAAGATCCTTCATGCGTAATTTCTTAGCTGAGTTGAAATAAGTCCGGATGCTCCTGTACCAGTAAGCAACGGAGTGTAACGGGTTTTGGTTTCCCTTTTCTCGCTTGTAAATCTAACATAGACGATGGTTTGAGTCTCTTGTCTGCGACGTTTACGAGGTGGTTGGCCACGGACAGGTTAACGATGCTAAATAGATATCAGAGTCTAGTTGAGCAGCTTCTAGCAATCATCTAATTTGCCGTAGAGTTCATCAGTTGCAAAAATTCTTGTTTACTAGTTAGTGAGATATCTTCATCATTGGTATGAGAAATCGACATGGTTCCGTTGAGTCGTCATCCTGGCCTAATCCTCAGATAGAGATTTCTCCATCAAGTGATTGAAATTGATGAGGAGTTGTCCTCATTGAAGAATCTTCTGATTTGCGCTGGCAACATGGTTGCGAAGTTTGCAAGTGGTTGCACGAGTATCGTCGATCTCGTTTTCTCTCTTTGTCGACGAGAGGAAGAATGGGTTTGTCACGCAACTGTTTTCGAAGTTGGGAACGCATGCTTTCCTTGAGCCATCTTCATGGTGAAGGAATAGGTTGAGGGAGCTGAAAGCTATTGTGTTTGTTAACAAAATGCACTACGCTAAAGCTAGTGTAAAGTCTTTCGAGTGTTTTGAGTTTGAGAGAATGAAGTTATGAGAGAGATTAGAAAACTATGAAAACTAATCAAAGAGAGAGATCATCATCAAGGATCGTAGATCTGGTCTCCGCGGGAGACTATAAAGTGTGATAGAGTAGGTTGTGGTAGTAATCCTACGTCTCTCCACGATCCTAAAACGGACGCGTGGAAGGTTTGTCTAGCCTGGATCTAGTAGCGTGGAAGTACTCCACGCTGGCTAAATATCTAGAGCGATGTTTCATCATCGACCTAGTA